ACCATAGGCTCTGGCTCAAATGCTATTTCATTAAATTCTTCTGTATCTGCCAATTCCTTTCTATACAATGACTCAGTATATTCCTTCCATCTTCTTTTGATACCTCCTGGATCAGTTGACATTCTTCCTAAAGCATCCTTGATTGTACCAACTCGAGGTTTGAATTTGTTGAATACTCAGAAGACAGAGGTTCTTTTCTGTCCTGTTACCAGTATTTAATTGTATGTTTTAAAAAGAAATTGTATGTTTTTAAAGTATTATTCTTAAGCATATTCTGCTTTGGAAAATAAGAAAGGCTTTTTTTTTTTGTAAGTGCATTTTGGAAATACCTTTCAAAGGATAATGTTAAAGATACAAACTCCATTTACCTTTTAAAACTGAGGTAGAGTGACAGCGTTAAATGATGTTAACTAAAATAACTTTTTAAAAGTGGTTGTTCTGGACTTTAAAAGTCAAATATATGCATATTTTATTTACCTTATAGATTAAAATTTTCTAGCTATTTGTGTCACTTCTGTCCTCCTCTGTTGGCATGTGAGTTTGAACCTTTTTAGTGGAAGCAGATGAAAGTTGATGAAGGCTGAAGATAAGGTACTATGTAAAATCAATGAAAACTGCCTTTGCCTTTCAAGTGAAAGGTGAAATATGTCAAAGTTCCCCTGTTATCAAAGCATTATAGACTATGGACTAATGGGAAGGTAATTGAGAACCAGGAAGAATCAGAAAAAGGATAAAGCTAATTTTCTATTAATGTACTTATTAGTCACGTACTGTTTTTCTCTTAAGGATTACAAGTTGATTGTTAAAGACTTGTCTCATTCATCATCACTTTAACCTGTGGGATAGAATGAGAAAGGTTCATAACTTCTCTCCTTCATCGTCTTCCACATTGACTCTGTTAAGGAGCTCTGATGGTTTGGTAGAAAAAGAATTGCATTTGCAGCCCTAAAGTCAGTAGTTCAAATCCACCAGCTGCTCCATAGGAGAAAGATGGGCACTCTCTGCCCCTGCAGTTTACTGCCTCTGAAAACTTGCTGGAGGATTATGTTCAGTTGGTTCCTACTTGATAGTATATAGTAACATGATTCAATTAATATAATTACATACATAGTTATGCCCTAGATCTTGTCATCATCAAGAAATCTCCTTGATTAATCTCTTGCACTTCTAACCCTTTGGGATTTTCCAGCTCACTCCCAACCCTAATGCTCCTACCACCTCATTAGCACCTGTTGTTGTTGTTGTGTACCATAGAGTTGGAACCAACCCATAGCTGACCCTTTGGCAAGTTTTCAGAGTCAGTTAATATGTTGCCGCACACTTTTAAATTTACGACCGTGCTTAGAAACACATTTCTTCTTCCTCCTCCTCCTCTTCCTCCTCCTCCTCCTCCTCCTCCTCC